CCCCAACGTACCGCATACCATACAAACACATAACATATATACTGCCAGGCTATTCTGGGGTGCCTGACTACCCGGTACGGCCATTCTGGGGTGCCGACCTACCCATACGGCCATTCTGGGGTGCCGTCCTACCCGTGTCAAGCCATTCTGGGGTGCTGACTACCCATGTCAAGCCATTCTGGGGTGCTGACTACCCATCGGTCCTAACAACCGATCCTCGGGGACTGGTCCCCTCCCGCTACCTCTATCGCATAACATAACAGGCCAACATACAAGCATACCATCACATACGATCAGATGTTTCTGAAGTGGCTGTCTACCCTGCGGTCCTAACAACCGAACTCTACTACTAATGCATATAACGTATCATGAGAGCATATAACATAACAGGTAATAGCAAACCTAGATGATATCACAAAGACAATCATCTATCATACGGCCCCTACTGGTGGGCCGGCATTGTGGCCTTAGGCCCACCACTACTGGAGGGTAACTCACCTCAAAGTAGCTGCTGAACTGATCGGGAACTAACTAACTGCTGCTGCTCCGGGAGTCCTCCGGCTGTAATTCCCACAACATACTCAATCAAACACTGTTAACTGTCCTTTAGGTAAAATGACCATTTTACCCCCGGTCTAGCTCTAAGTCAATGTTAGAGTCAACTTTCAGTTGACCCGACTCGCCGAGTTGGCTCTCCAACTCGTCGAGTTCCTATCAGACGATTGTCCGGAGTCCCTGTTTCTACTCGTCGAGTTAGGCTATGACTCGACGAGTTCATCTTCTAGACTGACGTTCAACCTCTTCGTCCTACTCGCCGAGTTGTATGAACAACTCGTCGAGTTCATCTTCATCCGAAGAACACTTTATGCTAAGACTCGCCGAGTTGTATGAACAACTCGCCGAGTCTGTTCTTGAGCTATGAAGATTGCCTTGGACTCGCCGAGTCAGGGCATTGACTCGCCGAGTTCTAACATGGGTGAGTTCAGCTCCCAACTCACCGAGTCACCCCCTGTGACTCAAGGCTCAACTCGACACATGAAGAAGGGACCAAATCGGCGACTCGCGACCAGACTCGCCGAGTCACCTATGCGACTCGCCGAGTCGTCGCCATGCACTCCTTAAATATACCGATTTGCTCGATTCCAGTCCATGCCAATCATAGATCTGGACTTCTAGGGCACGAATCACACGTAAAGTTTCCAACTTTACGTGTGGATATTCACTAATATGGATTATAAGGCTCAAAATGTCTCAAAAGGGTAGATCTAGGGCTAACAAGCCTCATGGGGCCAAAAAGCTAACAGATCTGAGCTCCTGGAGCTCAATCTTGCATAGATCCAAAGGCCAAACGCCTTATTACGACATATAATGCACATACAAACTTGGGGAATTGATCAAGAAGGACCCAAATGAAGTTTCAAGCATAGAATCAAGGGGAAAACGGGTTATACCTCAAAGGAACTGTTGAAATGACACAAAGATGGCTGATCTCCTTCTCCTCTTCTTGATCTACTCCTCTTACTCTTCAAAACCTTCAAGAACACACCAAGAACACCTCAAACTCTCAAGGAAACAAGGGAAAACGATGTAGGGGGAGTTCTGGGGGTGAATGGGGACGAGTTGGGGCGGAATGAGAGCTTAAATAGGGTGCAAACCCTTGAAACTTAGGGTTTCATCCCGCAGCGGTGACTCGCCGAGTCCAGGATATGGACTCGTCGAGTCGCCTACTTAAAACGCGTCCTGAGTCTCGTCCCTACTCGGCGAGTCGGACCCTATGACTCGCCGAGTCTAAGGCTAAATTAGGGCAATGCTCAAATAAAATTCACATATCGGAAACCAGGTGCTACAGCTCTTCTGCAGAGAGGTTGACAGAGATGTACGTGAGGGAGGTGGTATCATGACATGGAGTGCCGATCTCGATTGTCTCAGATTGAGATTTGCGTTTCACTTCCAGATTCTGGAAGAAATTTCATGAGGAATTGGGTACGAGGCTGCATTTTAGTATTGCATATCACCCACAGACTGACGGGCAGAGCGAGCAGACGATTCAGACACTCGAGGACATGCTCCGAGCATGTGTGTTGGATTTCGGCGGGAGTTGGGACACGTATTTTCCCTTGGTAGAGTTTTCCTACAACAACAGCCATCATTCGAGCATTGGTATGCCACCCTTTGAGCTGTTGTATGGGAGGAGGTGTTGGACCCCCATTTGTTGGAGAGAGGTAGGGAAACGTGTGATGGGTAGTACAGAGATCGTGCTTCAGACGACTGAGCAGATACAGCAGGTCAGACAGAGGTTGTTGACCGCTCAGAGTCGCCAGAAGAGTTATGCGGACAGGCGCCGGTCCGAGCTCGAGTTTCAGGTCGGCAACTTCGTGCTCCTAAAGGTCTCTCCTTGGAAAGAAGTGATTCGATTCAGGAAGAGGGGCAAGTTGGGCCCCCAATATATTGGACCTTTCAGGGTGATCACGAGAGTAGGCAGGGTAGCCTACCGTTTGGAGCTACCTGCAGAGTTGGGTCAGATTCATGACACCTTCCACGTGTCGCAGCTGAGAAAGTGTATAGCCAACGAGTCGTCAATGGTACCATTAGAGGATATCCAGGTGGATGTGAGCCTGAACTATGTTGAGAGACCGGTGGCGATTAGGGATTAGAAGATCAAGGTTCTGAGGAACAAGGAAGTGCCTCTGGTGCAGGTCCAGTGGCAGCATCGGAAAGGGTCAGAGCTGACTTGGGAGCCGGAGCGCGAGATGCGTGAGCATCATCCAGAGTTGTTTGCAGTGTGAGACTTCGAGGGCGAAGTCTGATTCTAGTGGGGGAAAATTGTAACATCCGGATTCCCAGGTATATTATTTTATTCATTTATTTTGGAGTTTGTGGAGGGACTCAGCGAGTTGGTGCTTAGACTCGCCGAGTAGGGTCGCGGATTCTCATCCGGGTTCATAACTGGAATCGGTGAGTCCACACTATTTAATGAAACCCTAATTTCCTGGGTTTGGGACCTATTTAAAGGCCCTTAGGGCCGTCATTTACGGCTACTAAACCCCAGAGAGAAACCCTAAAAGAGCTAGAGCGATTGTGAGAGGAAAGGAGCCATTTCTTGATCTTTGTGGTTGATTCTTGCAAGAAGGAGGTGTTTCCAGCTTAGAGGAGACCAAGGAGGTGGTGCATCTATGGATTTCGAGCAAAAGACTTCATCTTTGAGGTACTATATCACCCCTTTATCTGTTTTGTTGAAGGAATCCATAGATGTAGAGTTTTCATGTCCTTTAATGGAAGAAATTGTGAGAATATGGCCCTTATTTCACTTTGAGACTTCGAATCTGGACCCATAGTGGTCTAAAGAGCTTATCTCAGCTTGCTTTATGTTGAGCTATGGAGGTGTTGAGCTTAGGATGTTATTTTGGGGCTAAATCACCAAGTGAAACCTCCTAGACATCCCATGAGTGTCAAGATTCGAGCTTTACGTGTTTATCAGGCTTGGGAAGGTTAGATCTATGGATCAAAGGAACAGATGTGACCTCAGGATGTCAATTGAGTTTGTGCATGGCATGAATTTGCCGAGTCCAAGGGCAGACTCGACGAGTAGGGTTAGGGTTTCTTGTAAATCACTCAGTAAGTAGACTTGTCGAGTTGGGGGAATAACTCAATGAGTCAGAGAGGGATTAGAGGACTGGAGTTCAAGGCAGAACTCACCGAGTTGATCTTGAGACTCGACAAGTTGAGTCGGGGTGGCCCCGCGATTCATGCCAGGTGTGACTCGTCGAGCAAGGGGAAGGACTCGATGTGCCAAGCGAGACTAGAGAGTTAGTGGACACGTATAGACTCGCCGAGTCGCCCAAGTGTACTCGACGAGCCGGGTCAAAGTTTGACAGTTGACTTTTGTTGACTTTTAGGGTTTGGTCAACAATAAGGGCCTTTGAGCCAAAAGAGGGGTAAAATGGTCTTTTACCCTTCTGAGGGTGCCAATAGAGGGTTGAGTCTAGTCCCGAGAGTTATATTTATGAGAGTATTTACTTTATGTGATTAGGCGGAGGCTAGATCGTATTTCTACCGAGTCAGAGATTTACCGAGACATCTGAGGTGAGTCTTCTCACTATACTTTACCTTGAGTGGTAATTAGAGTTATGTGACAGAGTTATTGTATGCTATTTATGTGATGTGTTGCATTGCATTATTTCTACGTGATTTATGCCATGTGTATATCAGAGTATATCAGAGTTAGAACCGGAAGGTTCATAGAGCTAGGACCAGAGAGTCCACAGAGTTAGGGCCCAAGGGCCCACAAAGTTATAGCCTCGAGTGGCTAGTATGTGTTATGTATGGTATTTTGGGGAACTCCCTAAGCTTTATGCTTACAGTGTTATGTGTTATATGTTTCAGGTACCAGTGATGATCGCAGGAATGTGCCGGCATGATTCGTACACACGCATGGGATTTTATGTATTTTGATCTTGGGAAATGTTTTGTGAAACGAAAATATGATATAGTGAGATTTTGTTAATAAATGTGTTGGAAAATGTGTTTTAAAATGCGAAAAATTGTCTTAAAATTTTACGGTGTTACAGTTTTCTTCACCATCGATTGCTCATCTAATTCTCACGTTTTGTTTAAGGTCCATGCTTCTTCTATTTTTCAACTCCATTGCTTTTCTTTTCTAATCTATACGATTTTCAGGCTCTAACACTCGATAACTGTCTATACTCGGCTATCAATTCCAAATCATTTATTTGAATTTTAATTGATAAAATTAGCCCCCTCTCCTTTTTCACAATTTATTAGCTTCCGATCACGGATGACATCTTTAATGTGTTTTAGTTTCGTTGATAAGAATTTATCTGAATATTACTATTTTTTAAATTATATAAGATAAATATTAAAAGCCTACTATACTATCTTATGATTTGGCCGAATATTAATCAAGAGTGCTTTGTAGATATATGCATATAGTTCATTTCGGTTTTATCACGATATAAATGCAACCTTAACAGCAAAGTACCAAAAAAAAAAAAGGAGGAGGAAAACAGCCAATGAAATTAAAATAAAATGAAGGAGGTGTTGAGGAGATCGAGCGGTTAATTTAATTCCAATTCCCCTTGCCACATGGTAGCTTGATGAACAAGTGTACCAAAGGTTAAAGGGGTGTTTGGATTAGATTTTTAGTTTATTGCTTAAAGCTTATTTGTGATAAGAATAAGCAATAAGCAATAAGTATGAGGAGGGATGCTTATTAAAATTAGCTTATCGTTAACGATAATGATGTTATCCAAACACTTAAATTAACTGGGAATAAGAGCAATTTTATTATTATTATTATTATTATTATTATTATTATTATTATTATTATTATTATTTATTTTTATCCAAACACCCTTGCATCTTTGCCAGGTTTTAAGACAGATTTGTGTGCAGCTGCTTGTTTTTCTATGTGAAACGATCTAAGTCATGTCAAAGATGAAGCATCTACTGCGAAAGCTTCACATCGGTGGTGGTTTCAACGACCACAACAACCGCTTGTCCGCCACCGACACGCCATCTGAACCTCCAGCCACAACACAGTTCCACTCATCGGCTTCCCCATCTCCATTACCTAGAATCGGCGCCGTTGATGCTTTATCTGTTGAGAATTTAAATATCAACAACTCAGAGTCCTCCGCTGTTGATTTCAATTTCTTCGAGGAGGAATTCCAGATGCAGCTTGCTCTGGCGATTAGTGTGTCATCAGGATCCGCTGAGGCGCGGGAACCCGATGCTGAAACTGCACAAATTAAGGCCGCGGAGCAAAGAAGTATGGGCTGTTCCCCTTCGGAATCTCTCGTTGAATTTCTCTCGCTTCGATATTGGGTAAGATAATTCAAACTTCTAGGACTTATTTTTCTTTGTTGTTTTGTAAGATTGTTTCAATTCATTGCATTCTATCACAATTGTATTTTGCAGTTCACTCCTTCACCTCTATGTTTGACCTAAAGTGTTTCGTTTAGTATGATCTTAAATGAATTTCATATTACTAAGATACATGTGTTCAACATTTAATTAGCTTATCTAAATGCCAATAAAGGTCCCTAAGTTGGACTTTGGGCTTTTATTTTTGCCAGAAAAGGCACGTCCTCAAACTAAGCAACACAGAATGAGAGTGACCCTACGAATTTAGTATGAAATTCTAAGACAAGTATATTTGTCATTGATGATAGTATTTGGTATTTGCAGAGTAATAATGTTGTAAACTATGATGAGAAAGTGATGGATGGTTTTTACGATGTATATGGGATTACTTCAAATTCAGTCACACAAGGGAAGATGCCCTCATTAGTGGAACTTCAAGCCAAAACAGTATACGATGATGTTGATTATGAAGTAATTCTAGTGGACAGATCAACTGATAAGAAACTGCAGCAGCTTGAGGAAAGAGTATTAAATATATCACTTGAATGTCATGCTTTGGGGATGAACCAGATTATAAGCAGGCTGATCCAGAAAATTGGGAATATTGTTGTTGCACAAATGGGTGGTCCTGTTACTGATGCAGATGAAATGTTGAGAAGATGGACTACTGCAAGTTATGAATTACGGAACACTCTGAAGACTGTCATACTTCCCCTTGGTTGTATTGATTGTGGACTTTCACGTCACAGGGCCTTGCTCTTTAAGGTAATTAAATGTCTTTTTTTTTCGACTTTTTATTATTTGAGTTGGTTGATGTGAAAATTTTAATGTTGAAATTCTCTCAGACACATATTTGATGTGCATTAGTAAAAACTTTACATTGATATGCAATAAAATAAAATAAAAATGATACGTTTGGTGCTAGGTACTTGCTGATAAGATCAACCTTCCATGTAGTCTGGTAAAAGGGAGCTACTATACTGGCACCGATGATGGAGCTGTGAACTTGATTAAGATTGATAATGGGAGGTATGGTTGTGCATGTTTTCATTTTTAATCAATTTCACCAGATGCTATAAGATATATTTTTTTTATTTGATCTATGTTGCTACTTTTGGGGCATGGACTCTATCTTGATATCAAGTCTGTGCAAAAGACATGAATTTGCATCATCGAAAATAGCTCTAGAAAGATTGTCCAATCATGTCTTATTATCTTATGTAAAAAAAATCAGCTTTAAAAGTTTGGAGAAGAAATGAATGATGTAGCATCTTGTTTTGTTTAATGTTTACACAGCGAGTACATTATTGATCTAATGGGTGCTCCAGGCACCCTAATCCCTGTGGAGGTGCCAAGTTGTAATGTTGAAGTAGTAGATATCAGGGGTGGTGCAGGAGGGTATACATTGGATATAAGCTCTGAAAATGGTTTTGCCAAAGTTGTCCCATCAGATTCACAATTGAACACTAGAAGTGGGAGTGCTGTAGAGAGGAAGCAAACCAAGAGATTTGAGAGTGATTTTGGTAAGTTACTTCCGGCTCTTGGCAGGTCAAATGAAGGCCGGGTAGGTGGTGGTGGTGGTGGAGGTGGTGGTTCACCCGCCCAAAAGTTGCAGCTTAGTGATGTCTCCAAATGTGTGATAACTGCTGCAAAAAATCCAGATTTTGCTCAAAAACTCCATGCGGTGTTGTTAAAGAGTGGTGGGCCATCTACAGAATCACTTTTAAATCTAAGTAATAAGGGAGTGGGAGAGACAAATGTGCGTGGGGCCTTTCATTTGTTGGATGCTGATCTTGATCTTATTTCCTTTACTGACATTGCCAATGTAAATGTTAATGGGTTACCTTCTCAAGAAACAAGTGCTTGTGGTGGGACTACTACTGAAGATGTCATCAATGATTATGCAGTTGGTAAGAGATTTGCTGAATTTTGTATGATTTTTTCAATAATATTTGGAATTCTCGATTCCATTCCATGGTGTGTTTGGTTGGAAATTGGACAATATTTAGTTCCCTATCATATGAATCTTTCAAATTCCTTGTTTGATGGATTTCACCATTCCTAGGAGAGAGTGGATGGAAACAAATTTTATTCTTTGCTTTTTCATAAAAGATTGAAATCCCCTCATTATATAATATATAAGGGCAAAGTACAGAAAACCACTATATCTGGGGCAATTTTGTGGCTTAACCACTTGCACTTAATTTTTTCTAATCAAACCATGAAAGTTTCAGATGTTTTTCCAAATTTAACCATTTTGACAGAATATTGTCAAAACGGTTAATTTGGAAAGTTAATGGTGAAACTTGATGTAAAACAAGTACTGGTGAAACAGGATAGAACATGTCAAAGATGGTTAATTTGGAAAAATTTCTGAAACTTTTTGTGGTTTTGTTTGGAACATTAAGTATTAGTGGTTGAACTACGAAACTGCTCAAAATATATTGTTTTTATTTTGTGGTTTTTCTTTATATATCGAAAACAAAATTTCAGTTGTATAATAATATGTGTGTGTGTGTGTGTGTGTATATATATATATATATATATATATATATATATATATATATATATATATATATATGTATCAATAAACAAAAGATATTCAATTTTAATTATTGAATTCCATTCCATTTCTTTCCAACCAAAGTGGTGATAGATTATGGTTTCTTGAAATTGCAAATCCTTTGACATATTCCATTTCTTCCTAAATCATTGTACAAACCAAACACCTGTTTAGAAATTCATGAATGCCCTTTGTCCTTTGCAGTAAAGCCTGTAGAAAGACGATATGCAGATAATACCAAAAACAGAATAAATTTAGACATGAAGTTGGTGGAAACATCTTGCTCCAAATCCAATCAGAGAGAAAGGGAAATTCGCATTGATGAGGAGTGGGAAATCCCATGGGAAGATATTCAGATTGGAGGGCGCATTGGTATCGGTAAGAATTACTTGTTTCCAACATATTCTGTAAAACTGTATTATTACAATGGAAGTGGATCCCATAAAAGTATATATTATATGATAAAAAGATCAGTGTTTAATTTCCCTTTCTTGTATAGGTTCTTTTGGAGAGGTTTACCGTTCAGAATGGAATGGAACTGTAAGATGCTTCCAAATCTGAAATTTTGAATTTAGCACTTTTATAATCTATAACCAGCTAGTTTCCCTTCAATGATCTTTATGGAGACAAAAATGTTATGCAATAATATAGCTTATGGTCAGAAAAGTCAACTAACTGTTAGGAGGATGCCAGTTTACTTAATTTAGTAAGCATTCATTATCTGATCCTGATGACAGGAGGTGGCTGTGAAGAAGTTTATGAACCAAGATCTCTCAGGCGATGCTCTCACTCAATTTAAAGGGGAAGTAAGTGCGCTACAACTGGACAAAATTTGCAATTTTTTTTTGTCTGTCACCCAAAAGGTGGAATATAACCTAGGAGGAGGACAGATTCTTCTTTTGTATACAAGGAAGGATTTGATTGAGTGCATAGTGTTTTGTTTTTTAGGTTGAGATCATGTTAAGGTTGAGACATCCTAATGTTGTACTTTTCATGGGAGCAGTCACTCGTCCACCAAATCTCTCCATACTTACAGAATTTCTACCAAGGTTCACTGCTTTCAATTCTAATCAAGTCTACAGAAATAGCAACCTACTTTTTATTATTATTATTATTACAATATATATATATATATATATATATATATATATATATATATAGGACATTATGCTTTGACAAATTCGTTACATCAATGATGAAGTTGCTATATTTGGGTAGATTATTAAAGTACACTGGTAAATGAAAATAGGATGCTATAATAATCAAATTAATGGAAGTTCATTGCTGTTTCTTTGCATATAACCCATAAGTGTATCTGATTATGATTTTCTAATGTTTTACTAGCTTTAAGTTTTGTGCCTTAATTTGCAAGTATTTGTCATTATTGCTACTATTACTTTAAGTGGTTCTATCTCTTGTTTCGATCACTAAAATCCTTTTTTTTCTTTTTACTACCACTCTCATCCTTGGTAACCAGATAAAAAAAATGGAAAATGCAACAAATAGTCCTTGAAGTACAATATGTGAAGGATAAATCACAAGAACATTTAATGATGTCCTAATGTTGTTTAATATAAAAGATTGAGGGGAAAAACAAAACAAAAGTTCGTATCTTACCCATTTCTATCAAATTTAACCCGTGATCGATCTAAAAAAAGTGCTTAAATGCAAGAAACAGCAATGTACATTCGTTCATCTGTTTATTATAGCATCCTAGTTTCATTTCGTCATTTTACAACATTATATTATGAAAAATCTACAAAAGTATATAGGAAATGTTATCCAAATACAAAGCAACTTCCATTGCTATAATTCGGTAGCTTTAAAAAAAACAATGTGATAATGAGAAAAAAATCTAATTTTTTCATATATTAATTCTATTTCTTTGTTGTTGTTTTTATCCAGGGGTAGTTTATTTAAATTATTGCATCGTTCGAGTATCCAAGTAGATGAAAAGAGGCGAATGCGTATGGCTCTTGATGTGGTACGTACATTGTTTGTCAACATCTGTCTGTTTTATTTGTGATGATTATTATGTATTTGTATGGGAAATGCTTGTAGGCCAAGGGGATGAACTATTTGCACACTAGCAATCCAGTTATTGTGCATCGGGATCTCAAGACACCAAATCTCCTTGTTGATAAAAATTGGGTTGTTAAGGTTAGTATGACAAATTTGTTAATTTTATAACATTTTTGAATAGTCTACATATTTCATCTAAATACAAAGCAGGTTTCACTGTGTAAGTTCTCAAAATACATGTACTTTTTAGTAATTCACTCACTGGAAAATGACTCTTGAGGGTAATTAACTTTTGCGTTTGTACACATTTGGTCCCGTTTTCTCTTTTTTGTATTCAATATACCATCGAACTTGTTGTTGGTGTTTACCATAGCCCTTTTGACCGGCTTTTGACCTGTGATAGCCGGTCAAAGGGTTATGGTGAACACAAACAACAAGTTCGATGGTATATTGAGTACAAAAAAAGGCAAGGGACCAAATGAGAACAAACGCAACAGTTGGTTACCCTTCTGATTCATTTTCCCTTTACTCATTTACAACAAATCCCACATCATCTCCTAGTGATATTAATGACTTTATGAGATTCATTCTTGCTTCTCTTCAAAAAATAACCTACAAAAGAACATTATTCGTACATGTACAACTTTGTAATGCACTTGAACATTTTTTAGGGGAATCTTGATTAAGTTGACACATTTCATGACTACATTTACATTTGCAATCAAATGATTTATCGTATCATGGATTCTAGACAAGTCTACAAACGAGTGGAATCACAAGTGTTATGATTTTTGAGTTTACTTAGCTTTAAGATTGAACTCATGGGATTAGATACAACATCAATATGTACAATATTAAGGTGATGTGTCTACAAAAGCAACATGATATTGTACATATTGGTGTTGTATCTTGTCCCATGAGTTCGATCTTAAAGCTAAGTAAACTCAAAAATCACAGCACTTGTGATTCCACTCGTTTGTAGATTTGTCTAGAATCCATGATACGATAAATCATTTGATTGAAAATGTAAATGTAGTCATGAAATGTGTCTGCTAAGTCAAGATTCCCCTAATAAATATTCAAGTGCATTACAAAGTTGTACATGTATGAATAATGTCCTTTCGTAGGTTATGTTTTGAAGAGAAGCAAGAATGAATCTCATATAGTCATTAATATCACTAGGAGATGATGTGGGATTTGTTGTAAATGAGTAAAGGCAAAATGAACCAGGAGGGTAACCAACTGTTGCGTTTGTTCTCATTTGGTCCCTTTCCTTTTTTTGTACTCAATATACCATCGAACTTGTTATTTGTGCTCACCATAACCCTTTGATCGGCTATCACAGGTCAAAAGTCGGTCAAAAGGGCTACAGTAAACACCAACAACAAGTTCGATGGTATATTGAATACAAAAAAAAAGGGACCAAATGAGTACAAACGCAAAAGTTAATTACCCTCAAGAGTCATTTTCCCATTCACTCACACTACTTATGGTTTATGTGTTGTTATAGCATTCCTTCCTTCCTATTACACCTAACCGTTGTACTTTGTTTTTGGGTTTGAATTTTGATTGATGTACGCAGGTATGTGATTTTGGGATGTCACGCATGAAACACAATACCTTTTTGTCTTCAAAATCTACTGCTGGAACTGTGAGTTATTTCTAAAATAAAATTAAGCTAAATGAAGGAAAATTTGTAAAACATTATTATGACTTAAAAAAGGATACTGATGTTTGCTGCTATCTGCCAGCCGGAATGGATGGCACCAGAAGTGTTGAGGAACGAACCTTCGAATGAAAAGTAAGTGAATATTTTTATGTTATCTTGAGAAATGTTAATGTTTGTGTTTGGCAGGTGTGATGTATATAGCTTTGGTGTAATTTTATGGGAGTTAGCAACTTTACGCATACCATGGACAGAGATGAACTCAATGCAGGTTGTTGGTGCTGTTGGTTTTCAGTTCAGACATCTCGACATTCCACAGCATATTCATCCTACACTTGCATGCTTAATAAGCGATTGTTGGCATCTGTAAGTCGCTTGCTTGCTTTTTCTGGTATTTTATTTAAATTGCTATTCATGTCTTTTTGCACATATTCAAATTTTCTTTACTTTTCTAGGGACCCACAGTTGCGGCCATCTTTCAAAGAGATCATTTCCCGACTTAGACAACTCGCAAATGACACAACAAAAACCACAACACTTCAATAACACACTATTGTAGTCGGGGATCCAAACACACAATATTGATTCTTGTACATTGAAAAAAAAAAAAAAAAGAAACAGAGAGAAGTGTAGGTTTTGTATCATTCCAAATGATGGATACAAGGTCAAACACAACCAAACAACATACATTTTGTTACTCCGTTGCTGTGCAAAGTGCAGTTATAAAGGGGGTTGGTAAATGATTTGTTTGGTAACAGAAGTTGTTTATTTTGATGTGGTAGTTTGAGAAAAGAGAAGGGAAATAAGCATTTACAAGCGTTTGGAAACAAACGTATGAGGTGTCTCTTTAAGTTAAGTAAAAAAGTTTGAAGCGCTTTTTTTTTTCTTGTGAAAAAACACACGGTAGTTTACAAACAGTATTTATTTGTGAATGGAAACATTTTAGGTGTAGACATAGGAAAGTAAATAAAAATGTTGTTTTTCTTGATCATGTATCAAAACACGTATACGAAAGTTTATTTTTGTTTGGGAGATTTGGTGTGTATGGTTTTTCTTTTGTGTCCTGGCTGTGGTTAGGTTAGTTGTGTGAAAATTCTCTTCTGTTATCTATCAATCTTAATTGTAATATTATGAAGAAATCAGTTGAAATGATTCAAGCGAGGTTTTAAAGAACTGAAATAGAATAAAAGTTTGGAGTAGGAATATCCACGGATATCTTTAGAAGTAGACCTTGAAATAAGAAATAAACAAGAGGATAATGAACACGGTAGTTTACAAACACTATTTAATTTTTACACTTAAAATCATATTCTTTCTAGTAAATACATGTTTTATATATTTAAATAGTAAAGTTATATATATATATATATATATATATATATATATATATATATATATATATATATATATATATATATATATATATAGGGTTAAGTACATGTGAGACGATCTAATTTTGTAAGACCGTGAGATGTATTTTTTTATTTTTATTTTAATTTTTTTTAGTTAATTCAAATTCCGAAAATAATATTTAAAATTTTTTTTTTTGGATTTTTCCATTTATTTTGCATTTTAAAATTATTTTTTAGAATATGTCAGTGTAATATTTTATTAGAATATTTCACATATTTTTTAAAAAAAAATGGAATTTATTTTTAATTTTAATTTTATTTTTTTTAGTTAATTCAAATTCCGAAAATAATATTTAAAAAAAGAATTTTTAGATTTTTTCATTTATTTTGCATTTTAAAATTATTTTTTAGAATATGTCAGTGTAATATTTTATAGAATATTTCACTTATTTTTCAAAAAAAAAAAAACGGATTTTTTTTATTTATTTTTATTTATTTTAGTTAATTCAAGTTTCGAAAATAATATTTAAAAAAAACGAATTTTTGGATTTTTTCATTTATTTTGCATTTTAAAATTAATTTTAGATTTAGTCTCACGGTCTCACAAAATTAAAATGGTCTCAAATGAATCTGAACATATATATATATATATATATATATATATATATATATATATATATATATATATATATATATATATCATACAATTACCTCATGGAGAGTTAGCCGCCCCCACGAATGATATAAATACTACTGTTGCTTTGGCTTTACTCACATCAGTGGCATATTTCTATGCGGGTCTTAGCAAAAAAGGATTAGGTTATTTCGGTAAATATATTCAACCAACTCCAATTCTTTTACCTATTAACATCTTAGAAGATTTCACAAAGCCCCTATCACTTAGTTTTCGACTTTTCGGAAATATATTAGCCGATGAATTAGTATATATATATATATATATATATATATATATATATATATATATATATATATATATATAACCGTATTTTATATTAAATACATAATTTTAATATAAAAAATATATTTTGGCATATAAATGTAATTTTAACATAAAAGTACGGTTTAAAACTAGGTTAACAATAAGATGGTCAAAATTGCAAAAATTAAAAACTTAATGATTAAATTGTAACAAAAACTATCGCAATGTCCAAATCGAACTTTTGTAAAAACATAACGACTTTTGGGCAGTTTATCCTTACTTATTTAATTAAACAACTCTAAGATTTTAGTTATTACTTAGGTGTTCTTTGTTTTTTCGAAGTAAAAGTGTTTGAAGTCTGCGGACCACCTCTGAACCCTCTGTAGCAGAAGAGGTGGACCAAATGACTGCAACATGTAATAAAAAGTCCGTTTGTTTTTTATTTTTAACGTTACAGACTGCTGAGGTAAGTTAAAGCAAGATGTGAAGAGGTTTGAAGCAGATGGTCTAGCGTTACGCCACGCAACACACACGTAACAGTTTTTAAGTCAGAAGTCTTCAGAAAAACAAACAGCTACGAAAGGCCAAGTGTTGCGCGTGTGCTACGCGATGCAACAATAAGAGGTCAGAAGAGGTTTTTTTAGAAAAAAACAAACAACACATTAGAGACTATATGATAGTTGTTGATTGAGTCATATCTAACTGAGTCAGAGGCCTACCTGGGTCTACAATATTGATTGTATCTTGTTCTCACTTCAACCATATTGTTTGATTATCATTTGACTGATTGTACTGAATGACCATTTTACCATGTTGTTTTGTTTTATGTTGGATACAAATATTATATTATGTCGTGCTTATATATAATCTTTAGGTACCTATTGCACTTAAACTGTTTATTTAATTATAAATATAAAATTATATATAAGTGGGAATATATATATATATATATATATATATATATATATATATATATATATATATATATATATATATAGGGTTATGTTATTTTGTTTTAGGTAACTATTGTGTGCATGTAAGGAGAATTCTGAACCAATAGATGAAAATAATTAATGACTATGATTTTGAGGGACTATGATATTATAATGGAATATCATTACCATAATATCACTCAAATTTAATTAAAAGGGTATTTTAGACAATTAACTATATTTAAAAAAGGAAATTTTCGTATTTGAAGGGATAATTCTGATTTTTGTAATAAAAAAATATTATTCAACTTCAATTCTAATTTAATTTGTAATCATAACTGATTATAACTTATTTATTCTGTCAGAATGCGATTATGTTAGAATGATATTCTGTTAGAATAACAGTTTATGACATAATTAAAGAATACATAAATAAAAAGAAAACATATATGCATAAGTACATTATGAAACAATATACAAAATCGATTCTTGAACTAATAATATATCAAATAATTACATCTATGATTGTGATACAAAAAGAACATTCTTGAATAATGACAACATTCTGAATGAATAACAAGTGTAATTTTTAAAAAACAACATTCTTAAATTGTAAGTGTGATCAATCTTTGATTCATTATTCACGTCATTTCTATAAGATCTTCATGCCATTCCTATCACAAATGCATCAAAAAATATCAAAATCCAACAAAAAAAAACACTAAGTCATTCTGATAGAATAATATTGATAAGATTCATTTTATATATTCACGTCATTTCTTAGGGGCTGTTTGTTTTTTGTGTGAAGATCTGCGCAACCACTTTTGTCTGCGCCGCGCAGACAACGCGCAGACATATGCCATCGCATATTGTTTGTTTTTTGGAAGTGCGCAGATCAGAAAACGTCTGCACGAGGTCTTCCTAGCGCAGACATGGGTCACTGTCTTCAAAGGTCTTCAGACCTCATTTTAACCTAAACCAAAAAAAAAAAAAAAAACACGGGCCACCGTGCAGTTTTTTTTTTTTTTTTTTTTTTTTTTTTTTTTTTTTTTTAAATGCATTTTAATGTTTATGACATAAAATTAAGTTTAAAAATTCAATTTATTTTAACAGCCTGTAGACGTTAAAAACAAACAGTCTTCTTATTGCAAACTGCAGACATTTTGTCCACCTCTTCTGCCGTAGAGGCTTGTAGATGTGGTCCACAGACTACAAACATTTTGACTTCAAAAAAAACAAACAACATCTTATTTTCCATATTTTCTTTCTTCTCCACAAGAATGACAAACTCTTCAAAACCTAAAAAGAAAAAAATCATCAAAATCTAACAAAAATACTAATCCACTAAACGAACTGACAAAATATATGATGTTTTAATAGGTAAAAAAGATTCTTAATAAATCATTAAATCTAAAGTGTAATTACCTTTTGATTCTGACAGAATATATATATATATATATATATATATATATATATATATATATATATATATATATATATATATATATATATATATATATATGACATTTTAAATTTTAGCAGAATACATACAAAATAGTAAATTAGCAAGTTTTAATTCCGACAGAATAATTAGGGCAATAGAATATGATCATAAAACAATTTATTTGCAATGGTGGTTGGGTTAGACAATTCATCAAACACTTGGCGTGCGAAACTAAAAGGTAGAACACAACAAATGCATTAATCGTTAAAGGGATTGAAGCCAAAGATGATTACCTTATTGTTAAAAGAATTAACACAAAAGATGGCACATCCCCTATTGTTTTTCTATCACAATTAACAAAACTACTGATATATTAGGCTTTATATCAATATTTGTTAATAACTCGTGTCCCTCAGCAAAACCCATATCTATATGAACCATTACTAATCAGAAAATGAATAGAGCTAAGATATATAATTTAAATTCAACAAAAAAAATCGATTAGAACCTAAAAATCGCAAAAACAAAGGCTTTAAACTAGAGAGAAATTGTAAAAGAAAGATGAAATTTTTTTCAACCCTTTGAATCGACTTACCAGATGGCCGAAATAGAGGCTACATACGAGATTGAGAGGTTGACAGGTGAGCTTTTGTTTCAGTGATTGAAATTTTTTTGGGGTCAAGGTCAACTTCTATGGGGATGGTAATGAAGGGACGATGGTTGTTGAAGAACAAACACCCGCGATGAACATACACCAGTGAATTTGTAACACCGTAAAATTTAAAACAAATTTTCACATTTTTAAACACATTTTTCCAAACACATTTATCAACAAAATCCCATTGTATCATAACTTTGTTTCACAAAATATTTCCCAAGATCGAAATACATAAAAAATCCATGCGTGTGTACGAATCATGTCGGCGCCTTCCCGCGATCATCACTGGTACCT